CACTCACTCTTCTTTATTAACCCGCAACAACTGCACATATAGAAAAAAAACGGAATTATCTTACCAGAACTATCCCATCACGTGAAGATGAGCACGAATTCCAATACGTCAATCACAACCCGGGTTAAGGTATTGATAGCCAATTACAGGTTTGATACCAAGCATTCATGAACAACATAGACTTGATAGTATGGTGAATTATGCTCAATAAACCAAACCTTAAACTGTTATGTAAAGTCACTACAAGGTCCAGAAAATAAAAATCCAGACCAAGATTTGGTTTCCACCAACCAGTTGAGCATAAAGAGTCACATAGAACTCAACTGGTTGGTTGAAACAAAATCTTGGGCTGGATCTTTACTTTCTGGACCTGAAATGTTCATCTTTGCAGCCGAGAAAGTTGGTAGCACCATTGCTACCACTGGAAAATTTAGTCTGGAGTCCTGCGTCACATATACTTAGTTCAATCATTATTATCATATTAGCTCAGGTCTGAGAACCCTTCTGGAGTCCCATTGAACCACAGTATTTCTGAATGTTCATATCTCATACACCTCTCCCACTACATGTGTATAAAATCTCATCAAGGACATTTCTGTTTCAGGTGTATCACACAACATCCTTACAAGATTATTGGTATTTGGTTGAAGGTCCTGTGACTAACCACGATGTGGTGGGCATGCTGGTTCCAGAGAACTGAGGTGTTTGAAAAACAAACAAACAAAGAAAAAATAAGTTTATACTTCAGCCTACTCCTTTTCAAACATAAAAGACTGGTATTTTATGCCTGTAATATGCTATGTAAATATGGTGAATGTGAATATGTCTGAAATAAACAATAAACAAATAAACAATGTCTTCACGTAGCAGAATTTACCATCTTTTAGTTAAGTTTTGTGAAATGCAGTGATTTCTGATGCAAAATATTTACTTTTTACATTCAATTTTTCTGAAGGTGATCTGGGGTTAATTTAGATTTATTGTCCATTCAGAAGTCTGATGGCCTGAGGATAGAAGCTTCGCTTCAGTCTCTCTGTCTCGGCCGTGAGGTTGCAGAAGCGTTTGCCTGATTTCAGCAGGCTGAGCAGGCTCTTGCTGGGCTGATGGGGTCCCTGATGATGCTGGTTGCCCAGGTCCTGAAGTGTCTGGTGTAGATGTGCTGCAGGGAGACGACAGCCGAATAGGAAGTAAGGTGGCCCACTCTCTGTGGGGCTCTGTGGTCCTGCACGGTGCAGCTGCCGTACCAGGATGAAATGTTTGGTGATATTGCACTTTCTGTAGCACCAGTATAGAAAGTCTTGAGGATCGCTGGGGAGACACTGAATTTCCTCAGCTGCCGCAGGTGGCAGAGTCTCTATCTTGCCTTTGAGACCAGTGCGTGAACATGGTATGAACGTGTAAAGTCGTGGGAGAGGTGGACTTCTCCACTTGTGCCCTGTTGATGATGAGAGGGATGTAGCCCTGCTATGTCCTTCCGAATTCCCTGCAAAACTTCTTTAGCCTCAGACCAGTATGCTAAGAGGTCCCTCTCATTGAGGTTGACCTGTACATCGTTGCTGGGGATGAGGTCCAGCACCACCGTGTCACCCACACACTTGACAATGAAATCGGAGCTGTGCATAGCAACACAGTCATGCGCGTACAGCAAGGAAATCCTTCAGAAGGAGTATTAATGATCCAGGGAAGTTTGATATGTCACTGGCCCCCGTATAAGAGAACCGTGATACTTTGATTCCTGTGGGGAAATTCTCTTTTCGCCTACCCCATCTTGCTCTCCATGAGACACACAGCAAGGTGAGAGTAAGTTTGGGGGGTCACAGCGCAAGGTCAGCCAGAATGCAGCCCCCATGGAGCTGAGGGCCTTGCTTGAGGGCCCACAGACATGTGACTATTCTGTCAAGGCTGGGACTCAAACTGACAACCTTCCACTGGCCTTGGTCATGTGGCAATAAAGATTCTGATTCTGAAAGACTCTGATCCCTGTTTGAACCTGCCACTGAGATGCTAATGGTCTGTACATTGGCGCACTGATTGTGTTACATGTACAAAGTGACAAAACCTTTGTGTTTGCTGTAATAAAGCAGTTCAAAGGGAAGCAGCAGAGTAGAGACGCATGGCTTTTGTTCCACAGCACAACAGGATGTGGTGTGTCATATGGTGTCACTCTGCAGCAGGTGCCTATTTTCTGAGCACCTCTGCATGTGTGCAGCTCTGCACAGCACCGCCCTGATGGCAGGAGCCAGTGAGAAGGGCGGGATGAAGTCCTCTCCTTCAACCCCCCTGCCCAAGAGAGCTCAAATCATGGTGCCCCCCAGGATCAGGGGATAGTTCCCTCTCTTAAGGGGGCCTCTCTATGGCAACACCAGAAACCGTAAGTGGCCATCATCTCAGCTCGAAAAGGAGAACTAACCACTGCTGAATTGAGTTATGCCTGAAGTTGGAAAAGCATTTTTATCAGGACCATACAGCTTCACATGCAGAGCTGCAAACATGCTGTTTCTACTGCTTGGTGCATAATGTCCTGTGTGTGCATTTGAAAACATGCAGCTCACTCTCTCTCCACCTCCCCCTTTTCTCTGTCTTCCACTCTGCCCCACCTCCTGCCCTGGTTTTCTTCCCCTCTTTGCAGTCTTCTTGCCTCTTCAATCGTCTCACCCATTAATTTCGCCTCATCTTCTCTCGCTCTCACGCTGCTGATTTTTCCCCTTTTTGGAGCCCGGAGACCCAGAATCCGCACGAGGGTGAGTTACACGCACCCCAGGCTCGCATGCTGGACAGCCACCGGCCTCCGTTTGCCGCTGCAGCTTCAGGCCGAGTTCCCGCTCTTTCCTCACCAGCCTGCTAGGCTGCTCCTTTCTTCCAACTTTCAAACTGAACTGCTTCTCTTACTCTCCACGTTCATCAGCATTTATGGATCCGGCCACATTTACCTGCAGACGGTCCTTCTGCTTTCGACTTCTGCTCTAAGCTCTCCCCTTTTTCATGCTTCAAGAGCAAATCGTGAAGAACACAATAGAATCCACAACCTTAAAGGTTCTCATTTGTGGCTCCTCGCTGTGGTATGAACCGTCAAACTATATAATTCCCCCTCCACCTTCAGGAAACACCTCAGGATTCCTCTGTTCTGGGAATTGGTCCCTGAATGTACTTAATGTTTCACTTCTGATCAGTGAATAGTTTTATTACGTTCTTGCTTTGTTGGTAGATGTTGCATAGCTCCTGCTGCATTACTGCTTACACTTGTTCACTGGAATCATGTATGTTTGTAATGTGACATTTGGCTCACCTGTGCTTTTCCGGGAGCATAAGCGTCTGAAAAATAAAAATAAATATAAATGTAATTATTATCTAAAGAAAAGTTTCTCGCTTGCAGGCACAAACTATTTCAGTCAGAATGGCCTTAGATGTCACATCAGCAGGGTTAAGTATTTTCACCGGTACTTTTCAAAGAAAGACTGAGATTAGGGGAATATTTACTGCAATTAAAAGTAGAAAAGTTGAATACTATGATTCTCAAATTAGAGTTTAAACATTAATTTTCCACTACCCGTGCAGATCATGTTCATTTGATGAAGTGGGAGGTGTCAGCAGCCAATCAGAGCAGTTTCATAGGCTTCTGCTAGTGTCACTTTAAGGCTTGTCATGGCACAGTTTCCTACCCACAGAACCAGCTTCCTGTGCTCCAATTTCAAACTTCTTTACTGGCAGGAAACATTCTATAATGTACACATGCCACATTGCAGTGGTTATGAACTGGTACACCTACACAAAATACACAAAGCAATGCAGTAGAGTTACTCCATGCTTACTTGGGTCAGCTTTTGCTGGTGGGTCCAGTCCAGCTAGAATCAATGTAGCTCTGCAGACAGCATGGAGACTAAGGGTGTGCGGTAAGGGCATAGATTTGGGTATGGACAGTCGGGACGTGTCCCTATCAGTATTGTGGTACCGTATGTGTTTAGGGGATGGGGGGATTGGTGCTTATTTGGTCCCAACCAATGTTAAAATCAAACCTATATCCTTGATGTTTAATTTTGAGATCGATTCTAATGTTAAAATATGAGTGTTTAACCTTGTCATTTAAATGCTTATATTATTATAGGGAGCAGCACATGAACTACTCCCAGGCAGGGCTGTCCATGTAGGGGAGGGGGACATTCAGGGGACCTGACATTCGTTACTAGAGAAATAGAATGATCTGCAGGCACACATTCCCCCGTCCCACCCTAGCCTGGCTAATTAATGTCAGGGTTAGCCCTCCATGACAGTGTCACTGAGCATGCTCTGTTTCTGCCTGCAGGCACCATAAAGACCTCCATGACAGTGTCACTGAACATGCTCTGCTTGTCTGCAGGCCCCATTTAGACCTCCATACCACCTCGGCCACGCATCAAACTTTCAACATTGTGTTGTCCATTATCCCATAAGCCCCTAGTTGAATTACATTCACATAATTGTAACAATAATTCAAGCTAAGGCAAGACTTTACCATTGTCAATAATTGGCTATAAATGAAGAAACATCAAGTTTTCAGTGCAGATTTATTTCAACAACAATGCTTTAGTAAAACACAACAGTGGATAAGAAACCCATTGCTTCCATAGACAATTTTTTATGGCAGACAACACAAAAGCATATCTTTTCATCTACTTGCACTATGAACTAAATGGTTTGCCATTGTCCCCCATTTCATTTAGCCAAGCCCATCTCCACTTATTCTTTACCATTTTGTCAATGTCGGACACATCTGTGCCTTCCTTTAACAGAAGCGCGTCCATGCTGACAAATCCGAAATCAAATTGACGCGTGCGAGTGATGCAAATCGAAGGGACTATATGTCCTGTAAAATACGGCTTTACGGACTATTTATATAGCCTACGTTTACAAATAGCCTAAACTCATTTTAAAGCAGGCTGAAAAATCACAAGATCCAGACCCAAAATACGAGAAATTAAGAGAAGCTTCCCATTGCCATTCCTCTGTTAACAGCAAGAAAACGGACTCCAAAACTGCTGTTATTTAATTATTTATTCTTAACAGAGCATAAGCTCTCACAGCACTTGCGACACTGGAGCCACTGTCCTGAATCTTGAGCTTTGGAGTTTTTGGGCTTCTCTATTCAAGCAATGGGTTTTCTCCACTACTTTCCGACCGCGTTTTTCAGCTACTAATAGCGAATGAGACACTTCATGACACACCACTGACTTCCAAACATAAATACGTTCTATTCCGATCTTTTTTGAAAATGTAAAACACACTACTACTAGCCTATTAGTATTATTATTATTATTATTATTGGATACGTCGGCCAATAAGAAGCACGTGCCATTCACCCTTTTGCAGATCTCGTCTTTGTTTTGGAACATTAAAAGCTTTTGAGACTGATGTGGCACTAAATGCTGGGGAATTATTTTCTCCTTACTATGAAGCTTGGCATCTTAAACAAGTATCGGGAAATAGCTTGCAGCCTGTAGGCTACTCCGCAGCCGTAAATGTTTAAGCAAACTGCCGAAAGCATAATGTTTATTTTTAGGAAGAATAATTCAATCGTAATTAAACCAAAGAAAAAGACAGCCTTTCCAGAACTGTCTGCCGAAGCTTGTTCAGCCCCCCTCCATTTTTTCTTCCTTTGGCTCTGCATCAATCTCATTATGAAGCTTTAGTGCACTCATTTGACGTTAATCCATCATAGCAACGGAAAATTTAAATCCATTTGCTCTGTTTCTGCCTGCAGGCACCATGAAGACCGCCACCACAGTGTCCCTGAGCATGCTCAGTCTGCTTGTCCTGGCATCCTCTTCACCTGTGACCATCAACACCCCTGTTATTCCTCACAGTCAAGAAGTTCTCACAACTCATCCATCCGATGGTGTTCAAAACACCACCAGTCACTCAGACAAGCAGACAAATACCACGACGACCAACATCACCAAGACTACGAGCAGGGCTGCATCCTTCCAACATCTGTCAGTAAGCACCTATAGCATCATCTCAGCAGCCTCTGGCAGAGTGGGAGGGAAGTCAGACAGCACACCACAGAACTCCACCCCAAAGACAAAATCATGGAAAACTGCTACAGGCATGGTGATCCTATTCCTGGTCTTCTTTGTGGGGTTGCTGTTCCTGATCTGGTGGCTCTGGAGGCCGCAGGGCCGTAGGTGGGCGAGAGACACCACGAGGGCCACCGTGCGCCGGCTGAGGCTCTGGCGGCAATCACACCGCAGAGATGGAGGTACTGAGGAATGTGCTTCTGATGACGGTTCCAGTTTAGGGGGAGAAGAGATTGGCGAGGGCCTGAAGGTGGGTGCGGACGACGAGGGTCAGACAGAAAGGCAAAGCAGCACTAGCACTGATGGAGAGGAGGAGGAAGTGCAAAAAGAGAGAGTGACACAAATGGAGAAGCAGCCTCACAATGACATCATGATAGAGGACGACGAAAACCAGGAAGACGGCAGAGACTTGACAATACTGTGATGGGGGGGGGGGGTTTAATTTGACTACAGTGCATGACATGTATTAACTTGAAGGCAAATGTGCATCCTGCTGCTGTAAATGAATGCAAAGCAGAAATAAACATGTTCACATACCAGCTGAATTCCACCCATTTATTGATATCAATTGAAGCCAGATACTGAACAGTCACACTCATGCTAACAGAGGTTCTCTGTCTTTAATGGTTGTCCAGGGTCTTTCTCCCAGTGCTCCTCAGACACTCTGGGTTGGGTCAGCACTAATTTCTGAAAACCATCTGCTAAGGACCTTCTTCTTGGCCCTCTTCATGATCTGAAAGGGCAGGGGGTGGTTTGGGGGCCAATGGCAAGGCCCTCACTTCCTGCTTTGTAGGACAATATGCAAGTTTCTGAAATGAAGGCCTGGCTTTACCAACTAGCCACAATGAGTAAGTGCACCTGAGGTCTTCAGTGATGTGAACTGAGGTGATATCAAAGCCCACACCCCCCCTGCTGTACTTAGTCACCCCCACCTGTTTGGATGGGCTGATGTCCTAATTTACCCTCCTGTGAAACAATAGCAGCTCACAAGGCACGTGGGACTGTACTCTGTACTGGAAGGCTAGCACAGTTAGGGTCAGAGGAGAGACACACCCTTCAACACAGGGGCTTGGCTCCTATTGGGCAAGCACAAATTTGGGCGGAGCTCATTTGGCACCAAGCTCTCCCTTGGAGACTGCCTCTAGAGGGCGTAATGCCACCTCAAACCGAACCTCAGTCCGTAAGAGCACCGAGATCAAATGAAAACACGGAAACACTGTTTAGATGGAAACACCACTTCCAAAACAGTAAATTCACCTGAAACCACACTTTTATGATCATTTAGAAAAAAACACTCATTCAGCAATGTTACTTAAGGTAGATTTCAGTGACTGTCGTCCCATTATTTCAGATTTGACTTACAGTAGATATATGTTAACAAAGACTGTACTTCAGAAAAAAAGGAAATCGCAGCATGAAGTTGTATCAGCATCCAGCAGGGCTCAAGATCAGAGGTTCTGAAACATCGTAAGATGATTACTGCAATGGGTGAGGTGAAAAGTACTGTACCAGCCCAAACCAAACAAGGCCACTGAGCCTGGAGACCAGCGTCTTTCTGGATGAATCGTGTGGCAAATCTCTACACCACAGCCCATCGTAAACGTAGATCTCCAAACCCATCACGTTTATAACAGACAAAATTTCAAACTGTTTCACTGCTGTCATTCATACAGTCCAACACACCATACACACGCTAAAATGGTTTGCCAACAGTTCATTATCCATGTTACAGGAAGAATCACGCATGACTCTGCTGGGAGGAGGTCACACGGTCAGCCACTGCTGCTCTCTTTACCCTTGCGATGGCCGAAGGCCACATGGGCATCGTTCTGCTCACCCCAGTGGATTTTACCCCGGCTGGTGCTGGCAGGCTGACAGAGATCATTAACTAAGAATGTGATCGATAACCCATACTGGTACACACACACACACACACACGCACGCACACGCAGCAGGAACAGCACACCCACACAAGGCCAGCAAGAGAGGTTCTTCTGTATAATAATCAGCTCTTCAGGCCCTTCGCTCTGGTCCCAGCAGTGGAGGTCCACCAGAGAGCAGACATTAGCAGATGAGCCGGAACTCAAATTACAGCCGCAACCCCATTACCACCTATACACCCCTCTGACAATTACTGCCCTACTTGGAAAGAAATAGTACTTTAATAATAAACATTGAATGCAGAAATTTTAGCAGCGACTCCATACGTTGACACCCCCCATGCTGGTGGTGCATGCTGAAGGTTTTAAAACCATCACGGTGAAGATGTCAACGCCCCCACGCTGAAGGCGTCCACGACCTCACGCTGAAGGTGTTGACGCTGTCAGGCTGAAGGTGTTGAAGTCCACAGTCTGACATTGTTAAGACCCTCACGCTGAAGGTGTAGACACCCTAACGCTGAAGGTGTCGACGCCCTCAGGTTGATGGTGTTAAGACCCTCACGCTGAAGGTGGTCACGCCCGCACGCTGGTGAGTGGGGAATCTGTGGCGTCCCACCCCGGGCACGTTCCGCTTCTACTGCACTCATCTGTGCCCTTTCTTCTTCTTCTTAGCACGGCCTGGGGTCCTGATTGGCTGAGAGGCGCAGTTGTCACTGGCTTGGGGCGTCGCCTCGTAAGGTGTCCTCATCTCCCCATCAGCGCTACACTTGAATGGTTCGGCCAGGGTGAATTTCAGGGGGCTGCAGAGGGGGAGAGTGTGACTGAGGAGTGTTTCCACACACTAGGCAAGTGAAGGCAGAGCGGCCAGATCGGCACACGCTCCCTCACCTGACAGGCGTGTGCGGGCTGCTGCTGACCCTGCGTACGGGCCGAGTCTTGGGCTCGAAGGAGAAGCCTTCCTTTAAGCTCTCCAGCACCGAGGGGGCCACGTAGGTAAAGCCCTGTGGAGGAGCAGCTGTCAGCTGATGTGAGCAAGTCTCAAAATAAAGCAGGATGCACTAATGGGCCAGGCGTGAGACGAGGAGGCCGGGAGAAGGGTTCTCACCGCGAAGGCGTGCTCGGCGCTCTGGCTCAGGGATGTGTCATCAGGGCTATCCACCGGAGTCTGCCGTGTGAAGCGGCTGTCGAACTGGCTGACGTCCTCCTCCGACTGCTACTGGGAGAGAGGGGCGGCCATTTTACCGACCGCCACTGGAAGAGGGGGATGCCCCCATGCATGGCAGTATGATTGAGGGGGCGTTTACCAGACTGGGTTTGTAAGGAGGTTCCACACGTTTATTCAGCAGGTCGTCCCAGTCGATGTGTCTGAAAAAGGGATGTTTCTGGCAAGAGACAGATAAGAGACAGGCTTTAGTATACTTCAGTCATGGAACAGCGAAGGGCCCGAGTGTGAAAAGAGTGGGAAAAGCTGTTAGACCTCAGCAAGACGGAACGGGACTCTGTACCTTAATGTCAGCACAGTCTGCCTTGCTGGAGCCCAGCCTCTGCACCGGACTCTTCTTCAACAGCTGTGGGGGGGAAGGGGGCGGGTGATGGAGGGGGCAAAGGGAGAGAGGAGAAGTTTTTCTTATGAGAATCCAGGTGCGTTTCTGGACTTGGGGCCATGGCACCCCCCCCCCCATTCTCCCTTGGCCATCTTGCCTTTTTAATCAGGTCCCTGGCATCCAGGGTGAGGTAGGGAGGCAGGTTCAGTTTACACTTCAGGATCTTATCAATGGTCTTCTTCCTGTTCTCTGCCGTAAATGGGGGCTACAGGGGAGTGAGGGGGAGGACGGGGATTTATGGGATGAAGAAAGCTAAAGAAAACTTACGGCGATGCCGAATGACCCATGCACACTGCCACCTGCTGGTCATGTTCTGGGAGAGCCCCGGAGACCCCCAGTACCGGCCATGCTGTGCACAGAGAGCGCTGAAGCCATCCAGGGCTGCATCACCACCCCACAGCTACTTCATACTGTATATTTTTAATGCTGTTCTCTCTTACCGAGCCTGTCATCATATCGAACATCAGCGCTCCCAAACTCCACCAGTCCACTGCCTTATTGTGTCCCAAGCGCGTCAGGATCTCTGGAGCCCTGGAAGAGGGAGGGGCCATCAGTCACCAACCTCCAGAACCATAGATCCAAAGAGTCAACATGCACCAACAGTCTCACAAGCACTACTGCACCACTCAAGGTCCTCCAGCACCACTGGCAGTCCAGTCCATGCTTATCTACACTCACATATACTCTATGGTCCCACAGAAGGTGTGTGTGACGGCCTCATCGTGAATAGACTCCTTGCAGAGGCCGAAATCGGTCAGCTTGATGTGGCCTGCAAGCGAGACGGAGAAATAACAGCGTGAGGGTGTCCCGGAAGAGCCGACATCCCGGCCCAAGGCGACTGCATAAGCGCCCCAAGGACACCCACCTTGATAGTCCAGCATGATGTTCTCAGGCTTCAGGTCTCTGTATATGATCCCGTGAGAGTGCAGGTGTCCCAGAGCTAGGGTGATCTCCCCCAGGTAGAAGCTGTGAAGCAGAGGAAAGCACCACCGTCTGCAAATAGCCAACTTCCGAAAATTATAAATCCGCTGCGCATCATGTACCGGCTACTGCTCTTTCCTACGTGGCCATTTACCACCCTGTCCCCCTCCTCACCAGGCTGTGTCCTCCATGAAAATGCCCTCCTTCTCCAGCTGCATGAATAGCTCCCCACCTGGAGGGTGGGGGGAGGGCGAATATGACACCATGACCACAAGAATGAGTACTTACTACACCATGACCACAAGAATGAGTACTTACTACACCATGACCACAACAATGAGTACTTAATACATCTTGACCACCGGAATGAGGCCTTAATACATCTCGAGATTCTATCCTCAGGCTTCTCAACCAGGACATGCCACCACAGCTTTTAACACTGTAATATAAAGTCAGCTGCTAATACGAACTCTATCTGCTGTCACTCAATAGCCTCAGAACTACGGGTAAGTACACAAACGGAACTGCACTTTAATATACATGGATTACTGTGCTAAAAATATATGCGCACTGTGTAAAAAGGTATACCATTACTTAAACATATGCACACTATATCTTCTATATGTATGCTCAGTCTTAGGAGTAACCAGGTATATATTTGATTACATGTTGTACTTGTATAATCTTGAGTCTACTGTGGAAAGTGTAGCTCAGGAAACAGCCACGATTCCAGAAAAACCCACATGGCACCAGGCTCTAAGGATTCCCAGGATGCGCAATACATCTCGAGTCACATGGTGTAGACGAGTGAACAAGCAGAGAGGAGGGTTTGGCCAGTAACAGGAAGCTGGGGGGGGCAGTGAGCAGCAGATAGAGATACAGAGAGAGACAAACCAGCACCAAGCCTGTAGGATATGTGAGGAAGACGCAAGCTAAAAGGAGAGCTAACCAAGAGAGATATATGCCGCATGCTGCTTCAGGCAGGCGGGTCAAACACAGGAGCGCACAGCGCCCCCTCCTCACCGCTCAAACACTCCAGAATAAGGTAGAGCTTGCCGCCAGTCTGAAAGGCATAGAGCAGGTCCACGATAAAAGGGTGCCTGATGGTCTCCAGGACCTCGCGCTCGGCTCTGGTGTGAGCTGTGTCCTTCGCATTGCACACAATCTTGGCCTGGGGGCAGAGCCGGGCCAGTATGGCAGATTACGAGAGGCACCGATGGACGGCTGGAGAAAGAAGGCCGAGGACAATGGAAGAGCCCGTCGGGGAAATCACAACACGATACCTTTTTCAGCACTTTCATGGCGAATATCTTCCCAGTCTGAGCACCCTGCACCTTCCTTACTTGGAACACCTAAAAGAAAAGGATAACAGTGCTCATTAAACATTAAAAAATGCCTGCATGATGCGCTGTAATATGTGTGAGGTACATGAAAATAGGTTCAGCAGAATGATGCGCTGTAATATGTGTGAGGTACATGGAAAGAGGCTCAGCAGAGTGATGCGCTGTAATATGTGTGACGTACATGGAAAGAGGCTCATCAGCGTGATGCACTGTAATGTGTGAGGTACATGAAAATAGGTTCAGCAGAGTGATGCGCTATAATATGTGCAAGGTACACGGAAAGAGGCTCAGCAGCGTGATGCGCTGAAATATGTGTGAGGTACATGGAAAGAGGCTCAGCAGCGTGATGCGCTATAATATGTGCAAGGTACACAGAAAGAGGCTCAGCAGCGTGATGCGCTGTAATATGTGCGAGGAACATGGAAAGAGGCTCAGCAGCGTGATGCGTTGTAATATGTGTGAGGTACATGGAAAGAGGCTCAGCAGCGTGATGCGCTGTAATATATGCGAGGAACATGGAAAGAGGTTCAGCAGCGTGATGCGCTGTAATATGTGTGAGGTACAAAGAAAGAGGCTCAGCAGTGTGATGTGCGGAAATATATGCAAGGTGCATAGTACAGAGAAAGAGACTCAGCAGCGTGACACACGGTATTGTGTGTGAGGTACATGGTACATGGAAAGAGGCTCAGCAGTATGACACACAGTATTGTGTTTGAGGTGCGTGGTACATGGAAAGAGGTTCAGTACCGTGATGCACTGTAAAACGTGCAAGGTGCATGGTACCCAGAAAGAGGCTCAGTAGTATGACACACTGCATTGTGTGAGGTGAACGTTACATGGAAAGAAACTCAGCAGTGTGATGCACTGTAAAATGTGCACGGCATTCAAAAAGAGGCTCAGCAACGTGAGGAGCACAGTACAGGGAAAGAGACTAAGTGGTGTGATGCTCCATAATATTTTGGCATCTTCCTGTGGCAGAACAAGCAGGTCCTCTACTTTCTTCATGCTGTCTCTAACCTGACTCTAATTGGCCGATGATGCATGTGAATGTGAGCTCTGTGATGCAGCTTCCCATGCAGGCTGGAACAGGCTCCAGGTCACTGTGACCCTGTACTGTAGTCAAAATGGCCCCAAGCGCCACTCTCTGGTCTAACAGGCCAAAGCGTGTTAGGGACACACCTTGCCATAGGCACCCTTGCCCAGGACCGTGAGCAGCTCGAAGCACTCGGGGCCGACCCTCTCCCTGTCCACGCTGCTGCCGGTGAGCTCCACTTCCTCCGTCTGCTCACTGCAGTGACAAGACGTAAGTCAGGGTGACTGCAGCAAAGATGTAACAGATCACAAAGAGACACACGTGAAGTTCAGAGAAAGAAGTAGGTATGAGGATGACTCACGGCTCGACCTCTGCCATGGTGAAGTCACACACCTCGTCCTGGAACAAAGACACCATGGCAACTACTTTAATGGTCCACCCCGGGGCAAGACATGCACTGCCTTACACTGCCCTGCTGGGGTGTGCCGCTGCCATAACCACACAGGCTGCTCATGCCTACTGTAACACTGTAAATCATTAGATTCAAACAATTCCAGAACTGGGTGGTAGCCCCAGTGGCAAAATGTGTCTATAAGCCAGTTAAAAACGAGCCATCCTAGACCTACAACCTTTACTAGAATGATGGGGGTTATGAATGCCTTTCAATGGCTGAGTCTGTGGCAGCTCACGCTAGATCTACAGATATGTTCCAGACTAGCCGGCTCCACCAAAAGGCTAGACATTCTCCGGCTCCCAGAGAGAACCCTGAGCATTACCTCTGCATCACTCGGGTCCTCAGACTCCAGGTCGATGTCAAAAACTCCAGCCATCCTAGAGCAAAGAAACACAACATAACACATGTTTAAACAACTTACCCTTTACAAATAAAATCATTAACATCATTACGGTGGCTGCAATGTGTGCGTAACACCAGTCAATATATTACCATGGACATGGATCAGTGTTATAGTGAAGGGCAGAACCTGACCTGGTATGCAGGTTATGAGAACTTAATGAAATTGGGTTCACTCACTCCCCCCACCCCGGCTGTACAGCTATCTGTTATTTAAGTGTGATACAGTAGCAGTAGTGCGCGTTTTGCTTTTTGAATCTTGTGGGCTATGTAGCCATAACTAAAACCTTAAGATGATGTTACAGGCCACCCACCCAATTTCCTACGCGAAGAGACCTAGGCTGTCGCAGCCAGTTAGCCGGTTAAGCAGCTTCGCGACCCAGTACATCAGGTAGCTTCATTTACGGGTAACTTTATTAATTTTAACTTCTCACAGATTAGCGGGTGCAGTGCATACGCTGACGTACGAGCAGCAAGCGTCACTAGCTATTAGTATTACACCATAGATGTGTTACTTGTCATTCTTCCGAGCTTACACTCTTCTGGGCGCCTGCTCGTACCTTCTTACTGGCTTTCACGCTGCCCCAATTACCGCATCCAGCCCGGTGTGGGTGTCCCCCTCGGCTCCCAGGTGTCCTGTACTCCCTTTGCGCACATCCAGAGCGGACCAGGGTCTGGCAGGGAGGCGCCCACCTGCACGCGTCATCACTAAGCGACTGGCGACGCACGCACACCCGGAAGCACATGTCACCAACCTAACCTAACCGAAACTTGTACGAAACCATTTTTGTATTTTATGCATAACTGTAACTGTATCCATATAATTTCCATTATTTGGTGCCTCTATATAACCGTAGCATGCGTCCTCTGTTCATTTTGCGCAGATCGCATTGGTGATTCTGCAACTAATGAATATTTCATGTGAAGGCATGCAATAAGTAAACAGTAAAAAATTCCATGCAATGAAGCATGGTTACCAAGTTTGGTCAGCTAGCTGCCGTGATATTTTAAATTCGAGACCAGTCTGTACACATGTATTTTTTTACCTTGTAAATAGCTTGTAGGGTTTGCAAACTACCCCAACGCTTTTGATGTAACTATTTTTAGGTTTATAATGGAATAATATATAAGATTCCTTGCGTGAGTCTGAAAGCCCGAGTGTCACACCAGATACCTGAGACTTGGCAACCCTACTTTATATTTGTATGTACCGTCTTGTTACGCGATCGTTCCGTATCGAGAAATAGTTATGTGTAGTTTTGAACATCAATACATGATGCGATTTGTCCTTTGTTTTCGTAAACATTTCATGCCTCCGCCCCAGCATACTTTATCGTCAGATTACAAATTCTACAGATTACAAATACGTTTTATCATATAGGAAAATGACGGAGTTGCTTTTTAATTGCCTACCAGTGTGCGGGATAGGTGGGATGTCTGTGTATGAGTTGTGACGATAATCTGAAATATGAAATTAAGTATGAATTTTCAAATTAAAGACGATCAAGCATTATAAATGCAGATATCTTAAAACTACTCACTTCACTAATCATTATAGTGGACACAGAGACAGCAAGAGAAATCAAGTTAAATTATGTGGGCCGTATTTTTGTGCCATCATACAGGTATTCAGTGGCATGAAATAGTGTCACGCAGCAGCAGAGGGGAAACAACAGGACCTAAAGTGCAAAACACAGGGCAGTGCATATGCAGACGATCCTCTACTTAGAAACTTTAAACTTAGGAACTTTCAGACATACAAACGAAGAGGACTAAGTCCAAATTTTGTTCATTGGGCTCCCGTTTCCTGTCCGTAACATCAAAAATTTTCTGGCAGTGTGTATGTATGTAAATAGAAGTAAAACAGCAGGGGCCTGTATCACCAAGACAGATTTCATGCTTAGCTGGATTAGGCCTACTTGTCAGCTTGGTGATACAGGCTCATAGTAGCATAACAGCGGAATAAATATAGTGGCTAAAAACTAACAATAAATAGATCAATTATAATCAATTAAGAGACCTGCAGTGTTTTCAGGGATAGGTAAGGGGTAAAATGGGCAGTAGGTTATTTAGTACTTGTGGGAAGGAAATCGATTCTGCTACAAATTGCTATTCTTCAAAATGGTGATTTTAATATTGCTGTAAGAGCGAAAAAAATCAATTTCTAAACATCAATTTAAACGTAGGTTACTGACATCACGTTGTTCACTTTGGGAACTGCTAATATATTTGCCCAGTTGCACTCACTGATTTTGTTAAGGGGCTTACATGCGATTGAGTGACATGAATGAGTAAGAGTGTGCAGAGACTTTTCCTGCATCATCTCTATTTAAACTAACTTACTGCAAGTGTGTGAAATATAGACTTTCGATGAATGTCTTTGCCTCTTCCCTGAACTCTAGAAAGTTGCTAAACAAATTGAACTAGTTACTCCTTTTTAAACTTCTCCCTTGGGTTTCACCCTACCCTGTGTCTTGCGTTCTCATTGGCTGTAGCTTGTCATCTGCAGTCATTGCCCGTCACAACACTTTTCATGCTACAGGTTTTGGAGTTACCGACAGGTTCAGAAAGTATCCTGCTAAAAATCTCACGGGTGTTGGCGATGCATGGGCGACGCATCGGCGACTCTGCCTGGTCATAGGGATCAAGTTATGATTTGCTAGCACTAAGGAAACACAGATTTACCTACGATCTGGGGGTTTTGTTGACGGTTGCCAAATAAAAATCGGGACTAATAACGTGTACTATGAACTTAACATTAAATATATATTTTTAGTCTGGTATGAATTTCCTGGCAAAAGCACGCAATTGGATGACGTTATCTAAAATGGGTCAGCATGTTTGGATGTGTTTCCAGAAAAATATCTGAGTTTGGTAAAACAGAGCGGACAGACATTCTCAGTCTTATCAGCTACTCTCTCTGGTGTTGGTGTAATTCATCGGAAAGCCAAAATGTTCCCAAATACTGATTTAACTGATGTGGGAGGGTCTTGGAGCTCTGATGCACTAGCTGTAACAAACTCAAGCACAATTAGCATAATGTTTTCCATGTTGAACATCTGTTTGTGAATTTAGGTTTTGCCTGTGTCAAGAAACATATTTGTTTCATTGCACGTTCCAAACTGAAAATGCTGTAACGGAAAGGTACACGATGAATACGTGTACCATTCCAGCCCTTGTCTTTACTTTAAATGTAGACAAGAAATGTTTGTTAGCAAAATCTGTTTTAGAATTGCGATACACATCGGATCAGCAACATATACTGATATTCATTTGGGTGGTCACTGCCTATTCCCTCCCCTAGTAGGTAGTGTCCTGTGAGTCTCATGGCAGAAGCTGCTGCTGAACCTGTCACAGTGGGCTCAGATGCCCCTGAACCTCCTTCCAGATGGGAGGAGGACAAAGAGTCCATAGGGAGGGGTCCTCTATGATGCTGGAGGCTTTGCGGGTGCAGTATTTGTGGAAAATGTCCTTGATGCAAAGGAGAGAGGTCCCAAAGATTTTTCTCCTTGTATATGTTATCTGCTGCAGGGACTTGTGGTCCTGGACTTTGCAATTTCCAAACCAGACAGCGATGCATCTGGTCAGAATACTCTCTATGGTGTCCCTGTAGAACATTGTTAACCAATTCTGGTACTGGAGGGCCAGAATCTAACACAGTTTGCGAGGAAATCTCTAACTGTGTTGGATATTGGCCCTCCAGGACCAGAACTAGAGAACCCTGCCTTAGAATGTAGTGAAAGGATGGGTGGAAGTCTTGCACTCTTCAGCTCCCTCAGGAAGTGAAGGTGCTGTTGTGCCTTCTTGACTAGGGTACTGGTGTTGAGAATCCAGGTGAGGTCTTCTGCCTGGTGCACACCGAGAAATTTGCTGCTCCTCACTCTCTCCACCACAGACCCTTCAATTTTCATTGGGGAGTCTAGTGCTGAGATTCACACATGCAAATAATGGAGGCACCCGGAAATACAACGGGCTGATAATCAGTATGATGTAGTGTTTGGGGTTATGGTGGGAAACCACATGAATCTGGTGCCTTTAACATGCATCGAGTTTGTTGTGGGGAAGAAACAGGCATAGACCCCCCACTGGAATGTTTCAGATGGGTTCTGTATCAGACACTAATTACTGACAGTGTCATGCACTGGCAAATGAAAGGATAAGCACAGAGTTCGTGGTTACCTAGTTAACAGTCGATGTAAGGTATCTTGAGGATTATCAGGAAGTGGCTCAAACAGGCATCAGCTGCAGCGTTATTATAAAGTTTGAAGGTGCAACTTGGGAAACCTATAAAGAAAAAGGTCCACTTTGCTAAGGAAATTAACTGTGTACTAGTAACATCACAGCAGGCATGTTCAACCTTTCAATGGTGATGGATGAATGGGTGGATGGAGGATTAGTGTCAATTCCATGTGTGTTAACAAATGTGAAAGGTCGATGGCCTTACGTGTTGAACTGACACCGTGAGCTAAAGCTTGTGTAACAGCAGTGTGCTAGGAGAGGATAGAGTTATGGTGTAGGTGTAGGTGAAGGTGACAGTGGTTTTGTTTTGTACAGGTCAGTATGTCATAGGGGAGGAAGTTGGGTGTGTGACTAGTGGAAACTAAAGTAGAAAAACATGGTAGAAGTGGAAACTAAAGTAGAAGAACATTTAATTTAAATGTGTGTATGGACACAAAACACTCAATATGACATTTTTCTTTATAATTGTTGTTTTTATTATAATATACGGATAAACTAAAAATCACCTATATCAATATTGATTTATTCAGTCCTACTAAAGTGAACTGAAAGCAGGAAGACGGGGGGCGGGTGGCACTATATTCAGTGGAACTCGAAACTTTACCATTGAAATGTGCAGACGGACAACAGCCCCAGAGTCAAAAGGCTACAATGCGTTTTGTTCGCCTCTTTCCACTGATCGGTGGGTATTTGTCTGATTACCTTTTTTTCTGTTGATCGATTTATTTTGCAAATGTGTATTATTCAGCTAATTAGACATCTACTCGTTAATTGTATCGGGTCTTAAATCCAGTATATGTGTTTCACCAATGTGCATGGGATATCGTATAGATGTAAGCAGATGCATCGCTGGAGATTTACGGAAAGGGAGGCTACGCCTTTTACCTGGGGGTGTGATTTTAATGAAATGGGAATGAGAACACTATTTTACGAAAGTCCAGAGAGGTCACGCATCATCATTATTTTTATCTTCCCGTTATCTTTCGAGATCATGGCTTACTTTTCTTGTGGTCTCAAGATAACAAAGTTATCTTGCGATCTCTCAAGACGACAAGTTAATTTTCTTATCTTGAGATCACAAGAAATTTAAATCGTTGATAGTTGATATCTGGAGATCACGACTTATGTCAACCATGTAAAATTATTAAAGCATTAAACTATTCACGTGATAAAGGGCTTTAAACCATCTGCCAAATCTGCACCCTTACCAGTTGTAGGAAGTTAAGGCCCATCTCATGTATTGGCAAAAAAAATGGCTGATTTCCTTTAATTGTCTGTATTGAGAGTGCAAAGCCCCTCACATGACATATATGTTTTTCTGTTTGGCTTATTTTTTATTTTATTTATTTTTTTGTTCGTTTTTAGTTGCTTTTGTATTTGTCTTTCGATGCTGCCGCATATGCCACACATCCACAGTTGCTGTGGTGGCATTATTCCCCCTTTGATCTCGCGACCACTTTAGTAGCTGAGTTGGTT